AGAGAGAGAGAGAGAGAGAGAGAGAGAGAGAGAGTCAACTTTGAATCTCAGGCAAATAGAGGGGAGATGCGTTCTGGCTGAGGCCAAGATCTTTCACCCTGTCTCGGGAACTCCCCAATCAATAACTCTGTGTTTCTGTTTCTTCTGAAATGATCGACTTGTCGTATTTATCTTGATCTCACGCTATAAAATCTTTCTGCGCATGATATATTCTTTTTTCTTCTTCTTTTTTTCGCTCCTAATAATAAGTTATTTTTTTTCTTTCTGCAAAAGATGAGTGGTGTGTCGTTTAATGTTCAAATATGTTGAGAGGGCCATGACGTAAACGAGACGCGTTGTGTGCCAGGCCCAACCTTTGCCAAATTGTGAAGACTCTCTGGAACTGCTAGAATCAGGTAGCTCTTTTTACAGTAAAGTTTCATTGCAAATAGAAGCTTTGGGATGCGGGTCTCTTGCGATAATTATTGTAAAATTACTTTGATTTGTTATATGTATTTGCCAGCTTTTTCATACATGCAAGACGACATTATTTGCTGGAGAGCAATTTAGTCGCTATTTGTGTTAGTCAAGTAGGTGGGGATTTGTGTCAGGCACACTGACAGTTCCCGCGTTCTGATAATGTCATCGTCTGCTTCGAGAAGGTTTTCTGTGCTCGTAGTTGACATAATCTCGTGGGAATGATTTTATTTCTTTTCGTTCTGTTTTTTTTTATGTTCGTGTTTTCCGCAGTGTTTGGTTTACGTCAGGAAGAATGTGAAGTGTCTGTGAGGATCGAGCCTTCAGTGGCATCTTTTTTCTGTCTGTCATGAATACGTGCAAAGTACAACTGCAGGCTTTAAGTGCGTTCCCGCTTGCATGTGTGCGTGCGCACACACACACTCACAAACACACACACACACACACACACACACTCACAAACACACACACACTCATACATACACACACACACACACACACACACACTCATACACACACACGCACACACTCATACACACACACACACACGCACGCACACACACGCACATACTTACACGTACCAGATGTCTGTACTCACACAAGTTCTCTGTACACAGATATTACACACTCGCACTAGTTGTCTACACACGTATGGTACGTCCACAGACACAGTCACACTAGTTATGTCTGACGTCACCGACCCATTTGCTCCCAGTTCTCACACGTCACAGTCACAGTCACAGTCACAGTTCACAGTCACAGTCACACGTCACAGTCACAGTCACAAGTCACAGTCACACGTCACAGTCACACGTCACAGTCACAGTCACACGTCACAGTCACAATCACAGTGTTAGGTATAGTCCTAGTTCTAGTGTCTTGTGTTATAATGTTTTATATCTCCGTAGCTTCCACGTTCTAGCTTATTCATGTGTTCACCCCACAGTGTATGTTGCTGTGTTGATGCTGAGGATAACCCCATCCCCTGGGAAAAAAATTCGAGGCCACAAACAAACAAACAAACAGACAAACAAACAAACAAACAAACAAACAAACAAACAAACAAAAACTTGAGCGATTGTGCGTGTTTGTGTATGTGTATGTTT